GTAAATAATATTATGTCAGTGGTGTGGCCCTCTAAGAAAACTATCTGCTTCGATTTTGGCGCCTAAGGAGTATTCCAACCCTTAAACAAATCGAATGATTTGTGTAGCACATATATACTTAATGTTTCCTTGTACTAATGTTTGTGTGTCTTAATAAATAAATAAAAATCAATAAATGTCAGCTTATTCCATTCAAAGAGTGATATGAAATTATTTATTCAAAAGCTTAAAATGTGCATATTGATAAACTTGTCATTTGGTAGTTTAGTGAACAAACACATTACTATTTATAACATTTAAAGTGATACTGGAATCTCTTTTACTTTCTAAATTGTACGTTTAATCGTAGATTCTAAATTATACTTTATTAAATTGTTACGTCTTCATAAAAAAAGATAAGTAAAATTAGTCTATTCTTATTTATCAATAAATACTCAATAGCTTTGATTAGGTGTCTTCACACGTCATTTATTTATTACATCATACCTTGTTGACCGTTCAGCATAGATACACGGTATTTGGCTTGGTAAATTACACCTGTTTGACGATTGGTTGCTTCACATGTATAATTGCTCAATTCACTCGGATCTTCAATCTTTAATACGATTTTTTTATGGTAATGTAATGTTTTTTTTTGTTTTTCAGTGGATTATAATAGATTGTTATGACGATAGATTTCAATAAATGTATGATATAATGAGTGAATGAATGATAATGATGATGATGAATGCAGTATTAACAGTTAAGATGAATAAAATGAGAGGAGATGATCACCGAATACATGATGACAATAATGATGATTGTTGTAGGGAAAAAAACCAAAAACAAATTGGTTAAATATTTTGGTTAGTAAAATGAACTAATTTAGTAATTATAGAAATACACTAAATAATAATAGAATATGTAACAATTATAATAATGAAGCAAGCAATATCATTTCATAATCATGTTAATCATGCAAACTAATCTATGCAAGACACAGATTTTAGTAACATGTTAAATTAACGCATGGGAAAACAGAAAAAAACTATGATGTTACGAATATTGTCAGCTAAACAGTTAGGTTTTTTGTAAGATATCATTGTTGTTTTACCCATTTATAATTCGACACCTTTCTTGTAGTAAAGTGTTTATGATCTGAATAACTTGACAAAAAGGTGTAAATCAGAAATTTAAATATTACTTAGTTACTTACGCTTGTTACTCCCAATGGAGCATAGGCCGCCGACCAGCATTCTCCAACCCATTCTATCCTCGGCCTTCTTTTCTAGTTCCATCCAATTCCTGTTCATTTTTCTCATGTCTACTTCCATTTCCCGGATTAATGTGTTCTTTGGTCTTCCTCTTTTCCTTTGGCCTTGAGAGTTCTATGTGAGGGCTTGTCTTGTCACGCAGTTGAATGCTTTCCTAAAAGGTATGTCCTATCCACTTCCAGCGCTTCTTCCTCATTTCTTCCTCCGCAGGGATCTGGTTTGTTCTCTCCCACAGTACGTTGTTGTTAATGGTGTCCGGCCAACGGATTCGAAGTATTTTTCGTAGACAACTGTTAACAAACACCTGTATCTTCTGGATGATGACTTTTGCAGTTCTCCAGGTTTCTGCCCCATACAGTAGAACTGTCTTGACATTTGTATTGAAAATCCTGACCTTGATATTGGTTGACAGTTGCTTTGAGTTCCAGATGTTCCTCAGTTGTAAATATGCTGCTCTTGCTTTGCCGATCCACACCTTCACATCCTCATCAGATCCACCGTGTTCATCAATGATGCTGTTCAGATATATAAAGGTTTTTACGTCTTCCAAATCTTCTCCGTCAAGTGTGATTCGATTGTTGCATGATGTGTTGTATCGGAGAATCTTACGTTTCCCTTTGTGTATGTTGAGACCTACTGTTGTTGAGGCTGCTGCTATACTGGTTGTCTTCTCCTGCATTTGTTGTTGCGTTTGGGATAGAAGAGCCAGATCATCTGCGAAGTTTAGATCGTCCAACTGCATCCAAATTTAAATATACCGTTCTTAAAAAGATAATCTGTCAGTGATTAAAGTGTCTAGAAGCTGATAGAGCACTAATTTGCAATTGATTGATTACTGAGTAGTGATTAATGTTATGTATATCTAGTTCTTTAGTAATGATTGAATTCTATCGATCGAGTTACATTACTATATTTCATGGTAATATAAATAGAGACCAATCATGACTGGAATAGCTCTATCGTCAAATCTGAAATTGAGAAGTTGACTAATGTAAATGTGGATATCACGTGATATATCAACTAACTGTTCACAGTGTAATGATCATAATAATATAATAAAAACTGAATCAATTTATTTCTAAATAGGATTTTCAGGATAAAGATCTAATCGTCACATTTCCTCCGTTTCTTTTTAAAGGGACGAAATTCGCACCATGTATCTTTCTTAAAACTTTAGTTCACTTAAATACAACGAATTATTCAAATGATAGATGTAAAATTGACGTTTTATGTAATTATTGATGTTTTCTGGAAAATCAGCTTAAATGTATCAAGCAACAATTGATTTATGGCTACCCCATTTAGTGAATTACCAAAATAAAAATTTTATGTTATACAGTATGAAATTTAGTTCATTTTAAAATTAACCGAACATATTAAACTATTTTAACTTTTCTTAAATTATTTATTAAGTCCCACATGAGGACGTTACATTCATCCAATGCTTTGAGATTTTTCAATTGCGGTTTAGCTTTCATTGATTCATGATGTCAACTATTGTTATGTTTATAAAATGTTTAGTTGTACCAAAATTTGAATCATTTGTTGTCTAGTGAAAGTAAACACTGAAAAAAAAGAAACTTTTTTTTATTTGTTTTAATGAAATATACATATAAAGTAATAAAAAAAAGAAACTGAAATATAATAGATAACCCACCAATAAATACAATGTATCACCATTAGTTACAATACGACCATTTTGATCAATCCAACGAAAATCAAATAATTCATTGATTTCAGGATCATTTTCAAATAAACATTGTCTCATTATAGTTCCTTGACGAAAATCTTCATTCGGTAATGGTTTGATAGTTAAATTTAATGTTTTATATTCATCATCAGTACTTAGTTCACCTGATGATGCTGGATAATTAATAAAATACATTCTAATATGAAAAAATAATTCTCTTTATTATTATTGTTATTATTATTATAAAATGATCACTTCATGATAAATTAGTAATAATTATGATGACAAATGAAAGAAAAACTTGTCAATCAAATTCATGATCTGGTACTTTGAATGGTTCTTTATTCTTTTCAAATTTAGTAAAATTAATTTCATGCAATCTACATGCAGTTAGTAAGATCACAAATGAATTATGTGTATAGGGGATGATTATCATCTTTTGCCTAAATGAATAAATGTATATATATATATACATGTATATTTCTTTTTAGAACATTCACATGATAAAGCAAACAGTTTTGTTTTTTTTCAAAACAAACATTAGAAAATGTTGATAGTAAACTAAAACATTCATTTAATGTTAGTACATATTGTAAATAATGATCAGAGAGTTATTCAGTTCAACTATTTTGATAAATTCATGTTAGTACTATATTCGTTGTTACTATCCATATTACTGTTTGTCTATAAAGTTTGTTGTTTATTTTTAATTTTCAAAAAAAAACAACATTACTATGTATATCATTATTTGTGAAAATTATAATTTGAAATAATCCCAGCGATTGAAATTTAAATAATTCCAACGTTTCGTCCAGCTAACTTGTCTGGACCTCTTCAGGGTAATAATCAAAATCATCAAAGCTATATATATACTACTACATATATATATATATATATATTATTGATTAAATATAAGATTGAAGAGGAAGAATGTATTTGTAAACGTTTAGCGAATGAATTTCAAGTAAATCCAACATTTCATCTGACAATCTGATCCATGCTTTTTCAAGGAAAAAAAGGGATTGCCAGACGAAATGTTGAATTTACTTCGAAATTTATTCGATAATATTTTATAAATACATTTCTTCCTCTTTAAAGTCTTACATTAACCTTGGTACCTAAATACTATGAAACTATTCGATTAAATGTATGATTGTTTAAAATAATGGTTATTTATTTGAAATTTATGAAACCTTATAATTTTCATAGTTGATTATGATATACCAATATTTTGTTGATGTTTATTTAAATTAATAGTAAACAAAACGAACACATCTACTTTAATGTAGTTTATATAAATTGTATGTATATACAATCGTAATATAACCTTCTAACCTAATTTTCTATAAGATAATAATATAGAAATGCATATTTGTTGTTGTTGTTAAAAAAAGTGTTTTGATATTAATGAACTAATGTAAATTATTTAATCGGTTTTGAGGAGTAATTTCAATGTGATTAAATAGTGAATGATTATTTGATAGTTCAATTCATAAGTCATTTAAAGCTAGACCAGCATGAAAAACTTGGAAACATTAGACGACCATTGGATGCCTGTTAATTCAGTGGTTTAAAAATTAATCTTTCGTGCACTGGACCTATAAGTTCTGGGTTGGAATACCACATGCAGGAATATAGATGTGCACTGCTGAGGAGTCTTATACTAGAATGAAACGGCTGTCCAGTGATTCTAGGTTTTTCATGGTGATCTATCTTTAATTGACTCATGAATTCAATTATTAAATTACTAAAATCCTAACAAAACCTCTTCTGAAAATGATTATTTGTTAAAAAACATTTTGAATACATATCGATTGATAACATTGTGATAAAGTTCATTATTATATTGATTTCATTTTCATATATTCTGAGCAACTTAATGAATAAGGAGAATCTTAAGTCGATTTGCCGGTTATATAGGTTCATAGGTGTAATTTCCAGCCAAATTACTTGAATTAAAGAAAACCTAATCAAAACATAGTTGAAATTGATTTGTAAACCATTTTGAATAAGTGATATATAAATTATTTATAATAATGAAATAACGTTTAACTTACCTAGTCGAAGATTTAAAACTTTCTCAAAAGTTTCATCATCTGATAATCTCGTAACTTCACATCGTAATGGATACTGTAAATGTTCCGGTCCAAAATTCGTTATATAAAGTCTAGCGTCAGAAGATATTTCTTTTATAGTCCCATCAGGTGCACGTTGTATCCATCTGTATGAATATTGATTACTATCAAGTACTGAACAACGAGAATAAAGCAATTCTCCAAAATTCACATCTAATGGTCCAGGATCTCCTGGATTCAGTACAATTGTAGGTTCAGAGTTTCTGTCACCACCAGCCATTGAAATATCATCTTCTGTTATTCAGACATAAAAAATTAGAAAAGAATACAAGTGACTTAATTAAGTTATTACAATAGTTACATAATAATGTCGACTAAAATTATGCATTATTCTATGTTTTGGATGTAATGTTAACTCATAAACTCAATGTTTCCTTTCTCATAAAACAATACAGCCACACTGTCATTTCAACAAATCTTCAGCTAAAGAACTACTGGTTACCAAATCATTATTGTCAGGAAACTTAAATAAAGTTATACTTAACTTTGAAAAAAAAGTAAGCTTTCTTCTCTACTCTTTGAAATATTAATCATTTAGTATAAATCATCGAAATGCTGTCATCAAATTTGTTTAAAATCGTTTTGTCTCAAAAATGAAATTGCTTGCATGTTGCAACACAAAAATTAATGAGATGGATATTTAAAAGAATATTTCATTGTAAATTCTTCATTGTGCTTAATTAAGATACGTTATTGAAATGAAAATTCTTCTCTTGTAAGTGGTATGACAACAGAAATAACCAAACTATGCATTACTTATATTACTTATATATTACTTATATAATACTATTCACATTACTTTCTATTAAAATCAACTGATTCAAATCGGAGAGCAATAGATGATATTGAAACCTGTTTTTTTACATCGCTCTTGATTTTCTTTAAATAGATTTATCGTAATCACAAAATTTATTGTAGATCATTAAGTAGGTGTTTTACATTAATTTAACAATAACAATACATTTTACTTATAAATCAAATATTCAGTAGTATTTTGCTTAATCTAAGTAATATTTCATTTTATTATAATTTTTAAAGAGAATATAGACTGATATACATTTCTGATTTGTTAACTGAATAACTGAAGTATATTCAATAGAACTAAATAGAAATTTCATACACATAATTCCCTTTATTATTTTAAAGAGAGCAAGAACAAAGATTGTAGAATAATATAAATTCAGTTTATTTCGTTGGGTTTTCATCAGCTGCTTACAACCTAAAATATTTGAAAATCAGAGTTATTACAGTTATTGACATACTTATACATAAGAAAGTGATTAAGGATGAATATGTTGGGGACGTTTGATCCTCAGAACTCACTTGAGAAAGGACGTAATTTTGTAATTTTATTTAGAAAATTTAAATTTCTTTGTTTTCGCATCAATGGTGCTCTTTTCACTTTCATGTCGTATTTGTCACTGGGAAATACCTTAAATGCTATTGGTCCGTTGCGTCTCTTGGCATGCTATTTGGTCACTATTCCCAAGGACGGTTTTGTACTGTATATACACGTTTTGAATTGTGTTTGTTGTTATCGCTCGTTTCTGGCTGTTTTCAGAATATACTTCACCATTCCAAGCTTGAACTTTTCCCTCTAATTAGCGGGGCTGGGATGCATCAATAGATAGCTTACTGGTCTTTGGTCACCGAGTCTTGTTTCTCGTTCGCAGATTAAGTGAACTCGTGATATCTTCAACCCTAGCAAATTTGGCGAGGGTGGCTTCGGAAACATGGATCCTTCTAAACTTGAATTAATACTTGAGCAGCAGATGAAACTTATTCAGATGTTAGCAGATACAAAGCTTACGTCTAATACTTAACCAAGCAGTTCTAATCCTACTACTACTGCACCATCAGTTGATGGTATCGCTAACAGTATCGCTCAGTTTCATTACGATCCGGAATCCAATGTCACGTTTGATATGTGGTTTCGACGTTACGAAGACTTATTCAGACTTGACTTTGCTAACCAGGATGATGCTTGGAAGGTCCGCTTGCTGCTTCAAAAGTTGGGTCCTACTGAACTAGACAGGTATTGCAACCTAATTCTGCCTCTAAGCCCGCGCGATCTCTCATTCCCGGACACTGTCCAGTCATTGAGCCAACAATTTGGAGATAACTCTTCACTATTCAATGCGCGCTATCGATGTTTGAAGCTCACTATGAACGAAGATGATGATTTTCTCACACATGTGGGTATCGTCAACCGAGAATGCAAACGCTCCCGGTTGAAGTCGCCTACTGAAGACCAATTTAAAGTCCTCATTCTCGTCTGCAGCCTTCAATCGCAGAAGTTCAGTGACATTAGAACACGCTTGCTAAGTCGATTGGGCCAAGACCCAAAACTAACTCTTAATGATATTGCAAACGAATATCAACGTCTAGTCAGTCTACAGCGTGACACTACGATGGTCCAGCGTGGTGGTTCAGATCGTACTGAAGTTCATGTAGTTCAGCAACCACCCAACTCGCATAATTCTGCCCCAAAAACATCTAGTTCAGGTCAACAGGCATTTTGTTTGAAGCTGTCCATATAAACAACATCGGTGCAGGAAATGTAATGCGGTGGGTCATAAAGATGGTTTTTGTCGAAAAAAGAAGCCGAGCAGCTCCAGAGGTACAAGAAAGCCTAGGCCTAGATCCAACACGAGTTCGTTGAGTCTAATAGCAAGCTGTCAGAACTCAACCCCCGGTGAGAGGAAATTTATTACCCTTAATATTAATGAGCGCTCGTCTACATTGCAAATAGACACTGCATCTGACGTAACAATTCTCTCACGAAAATATTGGATCAGAATGGGAAGACCACGTACGGTGCCAAAAACACAGAAACCTTGAGCGGCATGCGTTAATTATCTACGTTTGTTGGGACAACTAGATTGTAAAGTTTCTTTTCACGATTCGACGTTTACCGGGGTATGTTACATCACACCAGCTGATCTTAATCTACTTGGTTTAGACTAGATTGACCGGCTACATTTAGCTGACGTTCTGTTAAGCACTGTATGCCATCTGGTGAAACAACCTCATGAACCTGAAGCATATTCGAAAGGACTAATAACGGAGTTTTCAACCATTTTCCAGCCTGTGTTGGGTCAGTGCACTGCTATGAAAGCAATACTTCGGTTGAAACCTGGAGCTAAACTTGTCTTCCGTCCGAAGAGACCATCGCCGTACGCAGCATTATCGAAGGTTGATGAAGAACTTAACCGCCTCCAACTACAGGGAGTTATTACGCCTGTTTCTTATTCTGCCTGGGCAGCACCCATTGTGGTTATTAGGAAGGTTAATGGCACAATCCGAGTATACGCAGATTTTTCCACAGGTCTTAACGCAGCTCTCGAACAGCATCATTACCCACTGCCAGTCGCTGCGGATTTGTTCACGATGTTAAATGGTGGGAAGTTCTTTGCAAAGCTGGATCCTACTGATGCCTATCAACAAGTGTAAGTGGCTGAGGATTCGAGAGATTTACTTACCATAAATACTCATCGTGGCTTGTTTCAATAAAATCGCCTACCATTTGGTGCTAAAACAGCTCCATCTATTTTTCAGCAACTAACGGATACCATTCTATCGGGTATCACGCGGGTCGCAACTTATCTCGATGATATCTTAATTGTTGCCACATCGTTAGAACAGCCTAGAGAACGCACGACATCTGTACTACAACGTGTCAGCGATAACGGATTCCGATTACGTCCAGAAAAATGCCAGCTTTTTTTGAAGTTAGTAAAATACTTGAGATTCATTTTTGATGCCGCAGGTCGCAGACCAGATCCTGAAAACATCCGAGCTATAAAACTGATGCCGACTCCCACTAATATCTCTAAGCTACGATCATTCCTGGGACTAATTAGCTACTACTTTTGTTCCGTCTATGCATGACATACACGCCCCGCTAAATCATTTTCTGAATAAGAACACCAGCTGGAACTGGACAAAAGAATGTGAAGCTGCATTTTACAAGCTGAAAACAATTATAAGCTCTGAACTATTACTGACACGATCCGTCCATGCCTATCATTGTCGCTGCAGACGCTTCAGCTTTTGGACTCAGTGCTGTCATTTCACATCAGTTCCCGGACGCAACAGGGAAAGCCATTATGCACGCATCTCGTACATTAACTTCAGCAGAGAGAAAGTACAGTCAAATAGAGAACGAGGCTCTGGCTCTTGTGTTTGCAGTACGCATTACATAATCGTCTAATATGTATGTTTTTTCCATGAGTTCTAATCACTATTTCAATGTTCTGTAACCTTCCCTCCCAAACTTTATTCATTCGAAACAAAATTTAATGAACTAATTAACTCTATCAAAATCTTCGCTACATCATGATACATTTGTTCATCTTTAATCACCCTCTTATGTATAAGTATGTCAATAACTGTCGTAACTCTGATTTTCAAATATTTTAGGTTGTAAGCAGCTGATGAAAACCTAATGAAATAAACTGAATTTATATTCTTCTACACTAATCTTTGTTCTTGCTCTCTTTAAATGGAAACTCAAATATAAAGCTTGGTAATGTTTTTGAATTAAAACTTATAATAATGTATTGTACCAAACTGAACATCAAACTTGTGATGCAGCTAACGAGTCTCAAATTGGACAAAACATACATTCCGAATTTCACTACTAGTCAATATTCATCTTTTTATTTACTGTTTAAATTGTTCATTTAAAACTTTATTGTATCTTGTATGTTTAAAGTTCAATAAGTAAGTGTTATATATGATGGCGTTTTCGAAAAAAGAAAAGTACAACAACATACCGATTGAAATTGATTATAAAGTTAGTTTAATTCTATTTCTTAAAATGGATCAAGAAATTATGGACATATGTTTTCATTTTATTAACCAACAAACTAAATATTATCGAAAGAACTAAAAAAAAAGTCTTATTAGGATGATAGATAGTTGAACTATTCCCTACCATTTCTTAAAGTGATTTTCAATAATGTATATTATCTATTAGCTTCTACTTTAGTTTTTATATCATAATCTTCATATTAAGATTTTTATTCAGTTAATCCATATATATTCAACTTTCAATCAGCTTTCAAGATGAAACACTGGGGGGGGGGAAAACAACATTCTTTTTTCTTTGTCACAAAAAAATATCCCATAGAAATTCTATTACCTTCATGATAAAAATTCAAATAAAAACTAAAAATGAATCTTATTGTGACTTTTGGTTAAAACACAGGCATAAAAAATGTTACCAATTT